AGGAGGAGGAGGAGGAGGAGGAGGAGGAGGAGGAGGAGGAGGAGGAGGATTGGGAGGAGGAGGAGGAGGAGAAGGAGGAGGAGGAGGAGGAGGAGGAGGAGGATGAGGAGGAGGAGGAGGAGGAGGAGGAGGAGGAGGAGGATTGGGAGGAGGAGGAGGAGGAGGAGGAGGAGGACCAGTGGAAGCCCGAGGGTCATCAACGATGGTGGAAGTAACCCTCCCTCCAAGCTCCCTCTTCATAGGCCCCTGCAACGGTTCATTTCCATTGAGGGAACTGCTGTGTCGGAAGACAACCGTTTGAGGACTCTGAAGCGTGCCAAAACATTGTTCTCTGGATTTCATCGCCACGGATCAACTTGACCGTTGCGTTTTGACGATCCAGAATCGTGCCAGAATGCCGTTTTGGGGACTTCAACACAGCGAATCAGCATAATTGTTGCGCCCGCATAACCCAGAATCTTTCCAAAACACCATGTTTGGTACGTTGTTCATGGGAACCCGTGAAACTCTGGCAAATTTGAAAACGAATCTACGCGGCGCTAAGGCGAGTGCCACATTTTGAAAACGACCCGCCGTCAATTCGTGAAACTCTCGCAAATGTTTAAAACGAACGTGCGTAGCGCTAGGGCGAGAGCCACATGTTGACCCGCTCTCAATCCGTGAAACTCTGGCATATGTTTAAAACGAACGTGCGCGGCGCTAAGGCGAGAGCCACATTTCGAAAACGACCCGCCCTCAATCAGCGAAACGCTCGCAAATTGTTAAAACGAACGTGCGCGGCGCTGAGGCGAGAGCCACATTTTGAAAACGACCCGCCCTCAATCCGCGAAACTCTTGCAAGTGTTTAAAACGAATGTGCACGGCGCTAAGGCGAGAGACAAATTTTCAAAGCGACCCTCCCTCCATCTGTGAAGCTGTTGTCACTTTTAAAGCTTCGGAGTCACATAAACGGTGAGGAAGTCTCAGGCGAAACGCCTGGCCCGCCCTAACAACTGTCCTCGGGGTGCGATAGGGAGGAGTTATCAAAAAGGAGAAGGAGTAGAGGAGGAGGAGGAGAAGCAGCAGCAGCATGAGGAGGAGGATGAGGAGGAGTAGGAGCAGGAGGAGGAGGAGGAGGAGGCGGAGGAGGACGAGGAGGAGAAGGATGAGGAGGACGATGAGGAGGAGGAGAAGGAGGAGGAGGAGGAGGGGGAGCAGGAAGAGGTGCATCAGCGATGCTGCAATGCACCCTTCCGTCCCAAGACCCTTCCTCACAAGTCCCTGCAGCCCTCTGTTGCACTACAAGAAGCGCCCCTTTGAACGACCAGTATCTTGTGGGCCTGACATTCAGGCGAGAGCCCCATGTCGAACATGGATTGCCTTGCGCACTCCTGGCGCATGACCCAGTGAGATCCCAGTTTTGTAGAAGTACGCCCCTTCATCCGTCTCAGCTGCTGCATCAGTTAGCACTTCTGGCTGTGTGCTTCGAAGAAGTGTCCTTCGAGGGCCCCACTCTTCCCATACTAGCCCGGGGACCCAGACTGCAGCTGGCGGGGGCTCCGGACTACAGCTGGGCAGTTCCACCAGGTCCGCCCGATCCGAGAGACGGGCGGCTTGTGTCTGGGCACGCTCGCTAAGGTCCGAGGGGCAGGTTGTGGATGATCTGCGGATGTACACTGTCCCAGACGCAAGAATCCTCAAGCAGGCTTGCCTCAGAAGTTCTCTCTTGTGCTTGAAGAGCCAGCGAGTGCGCTTGCCCGGCCGGCTTCCCTCGGGTTCCTCGGGTTCCCTTCGTTGTTGAGAGGCCAGCCTTTGTTCCCTGGGTTCCCCAGGGCTCTCCAGGTTATTGGTTTTGGTTGCGTTCTGTCCATGAAAGGTTCTTCTGGGTTGCCAAGCACGAGTGCCAAGCGACGCCCAGCAATGCGAAGCAGTGTCACGCAATGCCAAGCAATGCAAGCACTGCCAAGCAATGCCAATCAACGCTAAGCAGTGCAATTCAAAGAGATGCCAAGCAATGCAAAGCAGTGCAACGCAATGCTGAACGACACAGCAACGCTAAGCACTGCCAAGCACTGCCAAGCAGCGCCATCTCATGCGACGCCACGCGACGCCAAGCAACGCAGCATCATGCGATGGAACGCCAAGCAAGGCAATGTAATTCCAAGCAGTGCCAGACAATGCCGTCTACGAAGCGTTCCCCTAATCGTCGTCGTGCCAGGTTCATGGACAAGGAACCGTGTCCATCCATGCAGATGCTACATCTGTTGAAGTTAATTGTTTCTGCTGTCGAGGAAAGCTCGAATGAGAGCCTCATGTTGAAAAGGGATTGTCCTCCAACCTTGTAGCTGTTACACACTTTCAGGGTACATGCGCGCGGCTCTCAGGCGAGAGCCAGGACGCGCGCCTCCACCTGGGGTACCCTTGTGCCCTTGCCTCTGCGGCCCGTCCTTTGTTGTTTTCACTGGTCGCCTGCCGCCCGACAAATATCCTAGTTTCGGCCTCCAAGCGTCGTGCGTCCTTGCCACCCGTCCTTACTACACGTGTTAGCTGTATTTTGAGAGACGGAATCGCCCTCCATCTTTGTAGCCGCTACAAGCTCTTGAGGCGAATGTGTTTGGCGCCAAGGCGAGGACCTCATTTGGGGAAGGAGCCGCCCTCATTCCTTGTAATTAACGCTTGCAGGCTCCATTCCCGAGGACCGGTTTCTCATCCTGAGTCGTTTTTGGACGGTTCTGGGGCCCGGCGAGGGCCCCTGGAGGCCGAAGACTGCGAAACACTTCTGTTTTGTTATTTTCAATACGTTGGATCTTTGTGACGAGCGGATTTCCCACCACCACTACCACTACCATAGGTAGGAGAGGGAGGAGGAGGAGGAGGAGGAGGAGAAGGAGGAGGAGGAGGCGGAGGAGGAGGCGGACCTTCCCATCCTCCCTTCTCCCCAGTCGTACCTGTGGTAGTGGCGAGGGGGCCACATGCGAACCCTACCCCTGCCCCCCACGATTTCTGAGGGGGCCTGGGGTTCACTTCGCTCGGGAGCTCCCCCCGCGGAGTGAACCCCGCCCTCCCCCTCCAGAAATCGTGGGGGGCAGGGGTAGGGTTCGCATGAGATCCCCTAGTGGTGGTGGTGGTGGTGGTGGTGGTGGAAAATACGCCCATCACTCGAACGAAGGATTGCAAAAAAAACCTTCAACGAAGGTTTTTTTTTTTTGCAATCCTTCGTTCAAGGATTGCAATCCTTCGGACCGCAGCGCGGAGCCGCGCTGGCGCGCGCGCTCGCGCGCGCACCGCAGCGAGCACTCGCGCGGCGCCCGCCGCGGCGGCCCCTGCGCGGCGCGCTGGCGCGCGGGGGGCCGCCGTCGCCGGCGGCGCGCGGCGGGCCGCGCGCTGCGGCGGCTTGCCGGCGCCCCCTCTCCAAGGTAACGCATACCACCGCCGCCCTCGCCTCGTTTTTCCCTTCTCGGGCCTCCTGCGAGGCCCTCGTCGCCGCCGCTGGCTTCGCCCCGAAGTCCTGGTCAGAGCGCGCCCCGGGAGAGGCCCGGGGAGCAGCGGTATCGGTACCTCTTGGTCGCCCCAGGCTCGGCGGGATGTGAGGAGGGGGAACCGAGAAGGAGAAGGTCTTCTCAGAAGGCGGCGGGGCTTCTCGGACACCTGTGCGCCTTCGGCGAGGTTCCTTGTGTCTTCGGGGAAGCCTGGGCTCTCGCTCCAACCCCCCCTTTTCGGGACCTGGTGGCTCCAGGTGCGTCCACCCGCGTCCCATGTGCGCTCCCAGCGCGCACCTGGCAGGCCTGGAAAGGCTCAGAAAACTTCTCAGAAGGAGAAGGCCGGGGGACTCCCGAGCCCTCTGAGAAGGCCCGCCCCTTCTCGCTTCCCCCCAGGCTCGCCGCCGACAGACATCTGGCGTTTCGCTTTTTTTGGAGGCACGGGCCCACGACCACTTCCCGGGGACCGTATTTTTCATCGCGGGCAGTTGTTGGACGGTTCCGAGGCCCAGGAAGGGCCCTGAGAGGCCGCAAACTATAAGACATCCCAGCCTCGATTTTCTCGAGACGCCAGGTGTCTGGGCCTTCCCTCAGTGGTCTGGCGCGTCGGCCCGCTTGGGGGTCTCTCTCTCTCTCCTGGGGCTCTCTCGAGCGCCCCCGCTCCGGCCGCGTGATGTGCGCTGCCCGGCGGCGCCCGTGCGGGCGCAGCGGGCCACTCCGCGCGAGGGGCTGCCCCACCGGGGCCCTGGCCTGCCAGAGTGCTAAAGGATGGCCCTTCAGACCTACAGGACTGTCTGGACTGCCTAGAACCCGGCCGCGCGCAAGAGGGGGGTAGAGGGCGGGGGGAAGGCTTCTTAGAAGCACCCCTACTTCTTAGAAGGCGCGGGCCTTCTCTATAGATGTGTAATGCCCGCGCCTTCTCAGAAGCAGCATCCTAAGAAGCCTTCCCCCCTCCCCCTACACCCCCTCTGCGCGCCGCCAAAAAACCTCGACTGGGATTTGGACGTTGATGTCCTGGTGCTATTTGCAAGTCCTGCTGGAAGGTCAGGCGAGTTTTCTCCTCAGACGTGCGCATGTCGTCATTTTGTCTACCCGGGGCCTCCAGACGAGTCCCGACGCTTTCCCCGGGGCCGCCTTTCCGTCTCGAACCGTTTTTTAATGGTCCCGTGGCCCGGCGAGGGCCCCTAGATGCCGAAAACGTCTGCAGTAGGTTCGCGTCGTGTCGACCGGCGGCGACGCCGCCACTGGCGATCAACGCTGAACGCAGCGACCCAGAAGCGTGCGATGTTGAACGATCTGACGCGTCGGACACGGCCGATCGTTCAAGGTTGCACGGTCCCCGCGGTGTCGCGAACCAACGCCGGGGTCGATGCGACCCGAACCTGCCGTGATTTTTTTTCGTTCGGATGTTGTTCACGATGTAAGACCATGCCTGGGTCTCTCTCCCTTCCCGCCCGTCGGGCTCCACCCCTGCTGCAGCCATTTTGGCTCGAGAGCCATCTCGGTTTCCGGGCCGGGCCCGCCACTGCAGGCGAGCCCGGGATGGCGGCGGGGGCTCCTCTCGGGGCTCAGGCGGGCCACGGCCGCCGTCGCAGCCGCTTTGCCTTGCTTGGGTTCGAGAGCGGAGATCCACCGGGCGGGGCTAGGGCGAGGATGGGTCCGTGCCAGAGCGTTCCGAGACGCTCTGAGAAGGCCGCGGCGCCCGATACATTCTCCAGAGCCGCCGGCTCTCAGAGATTCTCGATTCATCTTCGCCCGAAGATGTCCTTGTCTGAATTTGGGTTCCGTCTGTTGGGCTCGCAGCTGCACTGAAATCGCACGTGCGTTGTTTTCCCAATGGCACCCTACGTTTGGTCTCAGTGGTGAAGTACCTTCCACACGATCGCAAAATCAAGTTTACGCGCACTGACGTAAGAAGCAGCTTCCATCATTTGTAGTACATATTGAGTTTTTTGGTTGGACCCGACTCGTATGGAGGTAGCGAATATTTCAAGTTTATGTGTGTTTTTTCTGGGGGCCAAAGACAAACGTATTTCTCACACATACGATCTCCAGCCGCATATTTTTTGTTGGTCTTGGACACGTATCGAAGACGCTTGCGGCGAACCACCTCCGCCACCTGTCTATTGAAAACGCCTATGTGGCCAAACTTCGGGCCGAAGCCTTGCCAAGCTGTTGGACTACGTGTTCCCCTGGCCGTTGTGGAAACACTTGCGGGAGCACTCGTGGGAGGAAGAGGGAGGAGGAGGAGGAGGAGGCAAGCTGGGTGAGCTCGCGCCATATCTGGCATTCTGCCCTTGCACCACCCACCCCTTCCCACTGCGCTGACTTTTCCTCTGTTGAAGGACGCGTGTCCTGGCTGACCTGGAGCTGTAGTGGATGCGTGGATGCGTGGACGCCTGGACGCGTGCCAGCATCGAGTCGGGCACGTCCCTCTACAGGAGGAACATCGAAAAACAGTTTACCAACAACGGAGACGAATTTTTATTTATTATTTTTGAATATTTTTTGTTTCGCTTACAATCCCCCTGTAGGAGGACGCGCCCGACCTGAGTCTTGCAGCAGGAGCTGGAATGGGACGGAGCGGGAGGCGCAGGCGGTCGAGGGAGAGGGTGGTAAGGAGGAGGAGGAGGAGGAGGCGGAGGAGGAGGAGGACGAGGACGAGGACGAGGAGGAGGACGAGGGGGGGAGTGGATGTGGGTACCTAGAGAGGGACGTAATCTACCTCACCATCAGTGGCGTACACGAAACGATACGCCTTCACACGCAGATTCGCGCCTGCGCCGACAAGCTCGGCCCCGGCTGCGCGGGGCGAGGGGGCGAGGGGGCGGCAGATGGAAAGGGCAAGCCTCTCCTATCGGGAGACTCTTCATGGGGGGGATCCCATGGGGGGATAGGATCCCAGGGGGGGGGGGATCCCACAGGATCCCCTGGGGATCCCATGGGGGGCAGGAGGGGATCCCATGGGGGGGACCCCCTCCTGCCCCCCCATGGGATCCCCCCCCATGGAGAGCCTCCCCTAGTTGCCGCCCCCAGGAGAGGAGGGGGGCGGCAACGGCGATGAAGGGCCCGGTGACGACGACGACGACCACGACGACGACCACGACCACGACCGCGACGACGACGACGACGGCGACGACGGCGACAACGACGACGACGACGACGACGACGACCACGACCACGACCACGACCACGACCACGACCACGACCACGACCACGACGACCACGACCACGACGACGACGACGGCGACGACGACGACGACGACGACGACGACGACGAGGGAAACGACGACGACAGAAAAGTGGCCTGCGCTGGGGCCACTCGGAACGACGAGGGCGAGGTCCCGAGCCTCAGGTGAGACCCGCGCTGCAGCGGGAGCTCCGTTCTGGAAGGACCGAGAATGGTGGAATGGAACAAACTCACATTGGCAGAACAAGTCGTACCAATCCAATGTGCAGAAACGAAACATGCGCAGGGGGTCGCACCACTCTCGGCACGTTGCAGCGGGAGGGAGGAGAGTACAGCATTCAGATCGTGTAGTTGTACAGGGGAGGAGAAGGATGATGACGATGATGAGGAGTATGAAGAGATCCAGGAGGATGATGAGGAGGAGGAGGTCGAGGAGGCGGAGGAGGTGGAGGAGGAGGAGGAGGAGGAGGAGGAGGAGGAGAAAGATAAGGCCTCCTGCGGGGCTCTTGGGGGCCTCTGTGGTCTCTTTCCTGGGGCCTCTCGGAAGCCCGTCGCCCCAGCGATTCTGGATCTGGCAGCGCACCTGTTAGGTGGTGAGACGATGTAGACGTAAGCCTGACAGACATGTCGTTTGGAGAAAACACCACAGGGCAAGCATATTGTGCCCAGATCGGGATCGAGAGGTCAGGGGTCCGCGTTGTGTGCAAATCGTATCGTCGGAGGTCTGGAAACGTCGTCGTCGTGTTCGTGGTCGTCGTCGTCGATAGTCGTTCCATCATTATTTGATCGATGCTCGATTGATTTCGATCGACGCTCCAGTGTATTCGAGGGAGGCGTTCGGTCTTCGAAGGGGGTTCCTCGAGAGAGTTCCCGTGGGGGCGCAGGCAGACGTCGCCATCGACGGCATCCTGCCAGAGTCGCTGGGCCTGGAGCTGTGGAACAAGCTGGCGCTCAAGGGCTTCTGCGTCGTCGCTCCGTTCGTCGGCCAGGACGTGCTCGACACAGCGATCGGCCAGGCCAGTGGCTTCGGCGCCGACGGGCGGTGGACCAAACTGAACAGCATCATCCTGGAGGGCCTGCTGGGCGTCGAGGGCTCCTGCGAGGTTGCGGAGCTCGCGCCCCCCAACGGCGAGAACGAGGAGCGGATCCGGCAGGACGGCGAGGTGCTCGTGCAGCTGGACCCGGGGAGCGCGCGCCTGGCGCGGCGGCAACCTGCCCAGACAGTGCCTGTGTTCAGAGGAGGAGGAGGAGGAGGAGGAGGAGGAGGAGGAGGAGGAGGAGGAGGAGGAGGAGGAGGAGGAGGAGGAGGAGGAGGAGGAGCCCTGGAGGAGGAGGAGGAGGAGGAGGAGGAGGAGGAAGAGGGAGGAGGAGGAGGAGGAGGAGGCGGAGGAGGAGCCCTGGTGCCTTACGGATGGCGTCCTTGTGGCAGGTGGCCTATGCCGCCTCAGTCGTGGTGATCTATCGTTCTCGCCTTGGTGCCCTGTGGGTGGGGTCCTGGGGCCTTTCTGCTGTTGCAGTTGTTGCAGTTGTTCGTTGCAGCTCTGGAGCCTTCTGGGTGGTGCCCTCTGGCTAGTGCTCTGTTGTGCCTCACTTGCTCCCGCCTATTTCACCTTGACGCCCTTGTGTCGAGTGCTCCGTGCCCCTCTCTGTCAACCTGCGGTGCCTCCTGCCCACCCACGGTGCCTCCTCCTCCTCCTCCTCCTCCTCCTCCTGCTCTCCCCCTTGCGGCACCGATGCGTACTAAATTACCGCTGCTCGCTGGTTTGAAACAGACCAAAGTGTGTTGATTGTTCGTTTCTGCTTTTATGCCATTTTTGTTTCGACTGGAATTGAATGTATTTGCTGCGATTTCTCATTTGCGGCCTGGTGCCTTACTGGTGGTGCATACTGGCTGGTGCGCGATGATGCCCCATGTGCTGCGACTTCTCGTTCTCGGCCTGCGGCGTTTTCCAGGCCCGATCGGTCTGCGATGGGCGCCTGGAGCCTTGGCGACAACGCCCAGCGTGAACAGAAATGGCATCGCCCGAATCTGCGGGGAGGTGCAGTCTAGGCCTCCCAGACGGGGTCGGAGCAGATGGGGTCGGAGGATCGCGCCGCATCGCCGAAGTATCGGCGATGCGGCGAGATCCTCCGACCCCGTATGGGGCGTTCCGAACAGGGCCCTGCCTTCGAGGATCGAAGGAGTTGGCATCTCTTCCGCGGCGCAAGGCTGCGGAAGGTCGGCGGACGATCGGCGGAAGTAAAACGAGGACGCCTCCGCCGGCAGAAGCTGGCGGACGCCAGCGGAAGGTTGGCGGAAGGCAGCGAAAGTAAAAGATCTTGAAAACGTTTTTGGGTTCAGGGCTTCCGAAGTCGCCCATGTCGGTGGCCTCTATGAAGGGCGGGCCAGCTGCACCCCTCCTATTCTCCCCCTCAGGACTACGCGATGACGCAGCTCGGCTTCGCGGTGGAGCCCTACCTGGGCGAGCGTGGCCTGGACGTCTCGCACAGGACCGCCGGCCTGCTGCACCGGTGCGGCGAGCAGGACGAGCTCCCCGTGCCGCTCACGGAGCTGGACTGCGCGAAGTGGCACTCCCAGTTCCTCAGGCACCTCTCGGCGGCGCCCTCCGAACCCCTCCTCCTCCTCCG